TTTTTTTGTCTGCATACAGGGGCGTCAAACTCCAGCCGGGCAGGTGTCCTGCAACCTTTAGATACGTCTCCGCTTCAACACATCTGATTCAAATGGCTGAATAACTTCCTCAGCATGCAGTCGAGTTATACACACAGTCCTGCTAACGCCAATTCAGGTGTGGTGAAGCAGAGTCGTACCTAAAGGTTGCTTTCCCTCAACAACCAGAGTTTGACGCCTGCAGTCTAATATGGAAGATCGTTTATAATTAGCTGAGTGAAATGTAAAATTTGAGAGAGAGAAAAAAAAAGCTCTGATTTGCTGATGTGTGTTAAATTGTTACGTCATTTATTTCTGCTTGTTATCATAATGGAGCCTTAGAAGCCTTTCTGTGAACAATTACAAAGTATTTATATCGAGATCAGAGGTGACGTCACACCATGTGGGTGAGACATGAGTCAGAGCTAAACAGCTCTGCGGTTAAACGGAGTTTCATTAATAATTTGTAAATGAAGACGGCGTGATGACAGAGTTGACATTATAACCTGTTTTTAGTATAAAAAAAATCAGCAATTAGCACGATTACCACTGTAAGCATTACTAACAGCAGTCGAGAGCTTTTCATGTAGAGTTTGTAGCGCTTTACGACGAATTAGAGATTTTGTGAGCAATTTTCATGACTTTTCATGACTCAAGCTTAAAGAGGAAAAAAATGGAACTAGTTAACGGCTATTTTCTACAGTGCAACTCTGACGTTGCAGGGTGAAAGAGGCAACATGGCATTATGGAAAAACACAGAAAATACTCGGTAGGTTTTAAAATCCCATTCAAACTCTGCCTACTAAAGATATACTGGGACAAATAGGTGACAAATGTCTTTTATGCCTACATCTAATTTGATTTATACACCCAAGATATCAAAGCTTATTTAGACAAATGAAGTAATCATGACAAATACATATCTGGTTTTAGTATCATCCAATAGGAATACAGCAATTTTATGTAACCCCTAACATTCTTCAGTTCAAAACCAACAGTGAAATGATTTTTTTATTTTTTTTTTACAATATTCTTCATATATCGTTTTACTAGGCTGCGTTCACTTTCTAAGCTCTAAGTTGTAGATTCTGGTTTGGGCCCGTTAAATGACACAATGTAGCAGCTTTCCGTTGCACAGTTGGAGGCTCATCAGGAACACATCTTAGCCTTAGTTCTTTTCTGTTTGTTAGTTTGTTTGTTTTTTGACCCAACATTTTATTGAATATCCATAATGGGATCTAGTGGGCACAGTACTCAACTAAATGTGCATTGCATCATTGTAGCCAAGCAATCTCCATTTCAGGCTATCAGACCCTGCCATTTTGTCAAAGCTCATGGTGTCTTTGACATATTCACAAGATGTTCTTTGGCATCAGTGCCCTGACGCACCAACCATAGCAGCGTATAATTCCTTTTAAGCAAATACCTATCAGACACACACAGACATGTTTCCTCGCTGACTATCTCCCCCCACCCCCCTCCTTGATACACCATTAGCTGCAGCGTTTTCATAGGATTTCTTTGTCTTCTATCTATTTTTGGTTATTTCACAGTCTTGTTTAGCCTACAGCCATCGCTCTCAGATCTGAGAGCTTCCAGCTGTCACTTCCTTTCACAATGTACTGTCAGTTTAATTGAATCTCCTATGTGCAAACATCAGGAATGCTTTAGATTCAATTTAACAGAGACTAGTTTCAAATGGTTCTTTATTCAAATGAGTTTATTTGTGTCAATCTCTAGATTTGATGATGCTGTTTTGACAGACTTTTAAAAGTACAGCTGTGTTTATCCACATGTATGACAGTGTGAGAGACTCATGTAGCTTGGAAATAAACGGCAGCGCATTGCAGGACTTCAGAATCATCTTGGAGGTTCACAGCTTTTCTAAAAGAAAAATTCGCAAGTCTAAAAAATTGAATCTGACAACTGAAGGATAGCACATTTTATCCATTTCCACCTTGATCAATAGTTGTTATATCTTTCTGTTTTCCTTCTGTCTGCCTCTGTTTTTCCTATCCTGTCAATTAAAATGCACTTAAAAGATAAGTTGGCAACCACTCCTACTTTACACATTATTTTTATTATTATTATTATTATTATTATTATTTATTATTATTATTTCAAATTTCTCTTATTTGAAGCTCAGTGTGTCTTTTTATAGCTTCCGGATCGCAGTTTAAACAGTGCTACTATGGTAACAGCAGGGGAGTGGGTGTTAGCAGCTAATCCTGTTTGGGTGTCATGGTGACATTGGTAAGGCACCCAGCAGAAGAGCTACACCAGCTTCCTTTGCTTTAATCATATTTCATCAGTGAGGATTTACTAGGTTAGAGGGTAAGGTGCTACGTTTTCCCACAAATCCAGTGTCACTTAAAGTGCTCACAGTTTAATTCCACTGTACACACAACTCCTCGGTGTCAACATAGGAACACAGACCTTTTATTATAAACCTTTTGCACGCCTGCTGTGTTATTCTTAAGCAGAATTTTCACCTCTGCAGATGCATACAATCACTAAAAACAGGCTTTGACTCTTGGCTGTGCAGGTGTATATCAGCCATAGAAATTCATTTTCAGAAAAAAAAAAAAAAAATCTAAATATCAATACATCAAAGTTGCAGCTTTATAACCCTGAATTATTTAGTTCATTTCCCTTGTATCTGACTCCTTCAGAACTAAAAAAGCACAACAAACTGGATTGATATTTAGATTTTGTGGACCCATAATTTAATCTAGCTTTTCTGAAGTCAACCTTTTGTTGAGGTTTTAAAAATTATGTTTGAAATAACATATTGCTGTCATGAAGGTTGCTATGATAAAGTATATTTCACAATATCGTAATTAGTGCATACCTCCAATTTTGCTTTGGTTGTTGGCATGCAATTCTTGGTAAGCAAGTCCTTAACTATTAAAACTGAGCAGAGAAACACAAAATGATACAAAATGAGCTGGACTGCTGAAATTGAGTTTCTATGCAGTAAAAAGTACAAAAGAACTACATCTTGTAAATGAGAACACTTTATAGTTGGAGTTGTGTTGGTTTCCTGTCAATGGAAGAAGCATGCCAGAGACAGAAGCTGCTTTATGGCTGCGCCATCTTTTCTATATGGCCGACTTCCTCTGAGGTGACTGATTGGTGGGCTGTTAAACTTCTTTCTCTTTTCTTTTTAAGGATGTTGAATCTAATGCTGTTTCTAATTTTTTTTTTTTTTTTGTGAATCATTCATCTGAATCTTCGAAGGGGTCCCGGCTTCAGCATATCTGATTCCAATGAATGCTGGATTTAAGGTCTTAGTGACCCAGTCATGCAAATCAGGTGACACTGCATGAAAGTTACATTGCTGAAACTAACCAACAAAATGACCTACGATGTATGGTTACACAAAGTAGAAAGCTGATTTAATCCATTAATAACAGTTGAATTTATAGAGGTCTGAGAAACATGCATTTGAGCTAATGAATTAAATTGTCCATAAAACCCTGGGTTGCATTTTTGGGCATGGAAACAGATTGCGTGTCACATGAAAAAACATGGCCACAACTGTCAGTATTTTCTTGTTGTATTTCTGTTTCTACATTTGCCTTGTATTGTGCTCCGGTCTCGCTCCGGTGGACACTAACCAGAGGGGGAAATGATGGAGCAATTCTTAACAGACTCACATTTACAGGCATGGCTGTTTCAGCACACCGTGGGGAGATAGAGTGGTGTGTTTGGCTCTGATACGAGCAATTCACTGTGGACGGAGAGGGAATCAAAGGGAGACACGCAAAGAAAGAGGGGGTTGATGTTTTCTTTCATTTGTTGACTTGAAATCATATTTCCCTCTCAGAACTTGCAGGACTTATTGTTTCAGAGGTGATTAATCCATTCTGAATGGGGAGTTTTAGCAGATCAGGGCTTCCATGTCCCTAAAGATTTACTTAAACTCAACCTAAAGATATTAGGTTTCTATCATTTTGCCATTTTTCTTGTGTAACTTATCAAACCAGATTTTTTCTTCTTATGCAGATCTTTTAGTCTCTACACAAATGTGGTTATCATCACATATCAGGCTCTTTTGTCATTGTATTCATACCTTTGTCTAAGCAGCTCAGATTTGTAAGCTTCAAGTTTCAGATGGTTTCTTACTTTCAAGTGTCGGAAAAATTAGGAGCGTCTTAAAGAGACAGGGTCCCAATTTCAAGACGTCAAAGTGCAAATTCAAATTTCTTTTAAGTTGTTTTTTTTATATATATAAATAAATATAACAACTGAAGGTGTAGTTACTTGATTGTGGTATAAAACTGCAGTATGCGCCTGGAAAATACATAATGCTCCTTTTAAATAAATTCTGTATTAAATAACTTTGGGTCATTCCAGGACAAAATAAGCAAAATCTAGGACCAGTTCCAATTCCTCACATAAATCTTTATTATGCTTTGCAAAAATACTATTTGACTTTCTAATGGAGTAGATATAGCTTATGACTTTCTGCAAAAATTTACAACTGTTTTTTATTTCTACATTTTACATGATTGTTCAGAAAAAGCTGAAAACTTTTGAATTCATAACCCTCAGAAGTTGTGTGTTTTAGACAGACTTGATGTCATTTATTAGATGTCAGGACGTTAAAAACATTAATTAAACATATCTGATGCCCACTTGTGAGTCTACTAATCTTATTTCATAATGTTTTTTTGTTTTTTTTACAGTTTTGTCTTTAATTATGGTATTTTAGAGTTCCGTGTCAGCATACTATCACATGTAGTATTTTGTCAATCTTCGCCACCTTTCAGTCTGTCTTAGCCATAACTGTAAGACTGATTAAAGAAAGATGCTGGATGACTCATATGTACACACATTAGTCATGCACTGAGTAAGAGTATAGTAATCTATCCATTGTGACAGTTTTAGAATCAGCAACACTGATCTCTATGTAAAACACTGATCTGTGTGTTTGTCATTTCGCTTAGTCTTCATCCTTCACTTTGCTTGTGACTCACCTGCGTGCTCAAAGGGGCGTCTGTATGAGAGGACAAAGACAAATTCCTAATTCAGGACCGTGGTGGCGTGCATGTCCGCGTTTCCTGCATCCGTCTCCCTGCGTGGTGATGCAGCAAAGTTGTGATTAGTCAGACGCAGCAGAATGCAGAGCTGGAGAGGTAGTTTGTTACAACTGAAAAGACAAAAGGGAAAATGTTAGCAGGGACGAAGGAATGAGGAAAATGAGAGGAGGAAAGATCTATTGCTCTTTATTTTTATCAGTCTTTTTTTTTTTACAGTATCTCGGTATCTCCCGCTTTCTTGCCATCCTTTTCTTTCAAAGGTACACGTAATCTCGCTTCAGACAAATGCAAACATCCACAGACATGCCTATTTGCACATACATACACCATCTGATCATGTGCGATGATTTATAAGCCTATATGCTTTTTCTTCTCAGATTACTTTATTTTCCTGTACTTCAGGTGTCTCTTGCTCTCCTGAGGTAAAACGTAATACTTTATTCCAGTCTTTTGCAGCCCCCAAATAAGAATCTCTAAATATTTCAATACACCTTCCCATCAGCTCTGATTAGCTTTGCTCGTCCATTTTTTTTTTCTATTTACTGAATTCAAGAGCATAACTATTTAGAAAGACAGCTGCTGAAAATATATCCAGAGTTCCAACTCGGGAGACTACAAGAACATAGCCTAACTTTAAGAGACTTTTTTTTTTATCTGTCCTTAACAAAAGGTTCTGCAGATAGATGAGTGTTCTTCTTCTTCAGTGTCTATGAAAAGCTGATGGGTCCGTGTCCTCAGTGAAGGGCAAAGTGTTAAAATGAAGAAATTAGATTTCTTCTTTATGGCTGTTAGATGTGATAAACTCTGAAGAGGATTGCTAAGAGCTCAGAAATTCACAGATGATTTGCTACAGCAATTCTTTTGAGTGACCTCCTCAAATATATATATAGAAAAAAATATTATAAAGAAGTGTAGTGTTAAATTCAAATATTTCAAACTTAGTAAAATATATATAAAAAAATCAAATACAGCTGTAAGTTTTTTTTTTTTGTTCCATCATATTGTACATATGTCGAAAACAGAGGAAGTTTTTAAATTAGCGGATTGACGTGTCAGCGTAAACTGGGTGTCCAGGACTCACTGAAACTGCTGCTCTGTTAACACAAGTTGGATCACACCAAGGTATCAATGTGTTGTACATCTAAAGTTTGAGCATTTAGTAATAAGTACAGATTTATCGATTTTCAAAATGACTATATTCAGTGCAGCTCTTAGCCTTGAAGACACCGACATGCTCTATTGCAGCTCCTTGATTTTGGTACAATTAAAGATGTTTGTGGAACAAACTTCAAGACTTGCATGCCATCACTTTGAACTCAGTGTTAGACTTTCATGCCTTTACTTGGCACTTGATTTGAGAGTCGGTCTATGTACTAATCTGGCTACTATACTAGCCCTTGAAATTGGACACCATCAACCAACTGTAGCACCAGAGTAATATTGACCTGGTTTTAGATCAAAGCACCATTTATAAGCTAAACCTAAATACAGTTGAAAATCTATGGCAAAACTGAACTTGAGAACATTTCAAACAGTATTTGCAAATCAGACTATTGAGTACAAATATGACCATTTAGCACAATCAACTGGTGGCATATGATTCTGTGATTGGGAAAACCTAACAGGCGCAAATGTATAATTTCATAACAGTATAGGAATTGTGTTGTTAGCACATACAGCAGACGCACAATAGGAACTCTAGATGCTGACAGAACAGTAGTAATTAGGTCTATGTGCTGTGGATATTCTTGGTACAGTACTGATCAGTGTCATCTGTCTTTGTGTGGGAAAAAAAAAATCTGCTGTTGTTGCCGTAGCCCAGTTTCTATGGAAACCTGTCGGCACCCATCCTGGTCTCTATGGTAACTTCATGTTGGCACCCACAGAGATTGAGAGAAAGAAAGATGAGAAAAAGAAGGACAGTAGGTGACAAACAAAAGTGAGGGAGTGGGTCAAACAGTGGAGTTGATGGAAAAATGAGGAGGAGATAAGGACTTACTGGCAAGACGTGAAGAATATGAAAAAGTGTAAAGATTGATAAAGTTTAACGACACTCCAGATTTGTTTGTAACCAACAAATCTGAGTGTATTGTCACATTTCTCTTTTTTTTTTTTTTTTTTTTTTTTTTTTTTTTTTTAAACTTGGATTTTGTGACGTTACAGCCTCACATGGGTTGGAAGACTTGGCTGGAGATGCAGGGTACAGCTTGAACAGGCTGCCGGTCCATTACAGAGCAACACAGATACCCACAGGACAGGCAACCATGCACACACACACACACCACCACACCTGAGAGCAATTTACAGTAATCAGTTAACCTAACACCAAGCGGAGGGCTGTGATCCTCTGCACATTTGTCCCGAGTTCGATTCCCCATCTCTGGCTGTTTGCTGCAGGTTTTCTCCTTCGCCCTCTAACTGTCCCATCTGGAATTTGCACAAGCGCGAGTCAAATGTCGCAGCAACAACCCACTGGTTTGTTTATCGGTTAATCAATGGCTGCGTCTTCGTTGGGACAGATGGGTGGGTGAATGTGGTTCTAGTAGTGCAAAAAGTTTTGAGTGGAAAGTATTTAGTTTTATGCTTCTGTCTGCATTAATCATTCATCTACAGTTGCTGAATTTGTGGACAGGTTTCACCTGACAACATCCCAACCTAGTTTTTGATTCGCTTAGAAATTAAATAAGGTAATAGGAGCGACAGGATTCAACGTTCCACTAAATGCGTCATACAGAACTTTACAAGCTGGGAGTGCAACACAGGAAGCCAGGGAAAATACAGAGTGGACGATATGGAGCAGTGATCACTCCAGTGAGGAGAGATCAGAGAGGTGTATAAATAATCAGAGAGGGAACGCTGGAACAGTAGACCAGAGCTGATTAGCTAACGGGTTGCAAGAGTGAGGGGAGAGAGCAGAAGGCAGACTGAGAACGGAGAGAAAGAGAGAGAATATGGCACAAGAGGTTGATGGAAAGTAAGGGGATCTAAAAACAGAAAAAACTAAGCACAAGATATAACAACCTAACTATAATAACGTAAAGAACAACAATATAAAAACTAGAGAGAACAGATAAATGAACTACAAACCCACAAAACCCCAAACCAACCCTGGATCCTGACTAAATGCATTTTATCTCATGTTTAAACCCACATAATAACCATATTTCGACACGCCAACATACATAGAAAGACGAGAAGCAGTATGACAGCAGCTTACAGTGTGATAAAGCCTTGCAGAGGGCGAAAACCTAAAATTAAATTCAGCCCAAGGAAATGTCTTTTCTATAAGGCTGTGGCGTTTCCTGTACTCCTTTTGATGCATTCCAGGGCATCGAAACATATTCACATTAGTCAAAAATGAGATGAAAGTCTATTTTTATTTTAAAATATCTATGCGTTGCATGGTGACATCCAATTCCAACACAGTACGTGTTTGTGTGTGTGTGAGAGAGAGAGAGAGAGAGAGAGAGACAGAGAGTCACCAGTAGCTGTTTCAAATCCACCGCTGCTCTGTGCAGCACACAAATAGAGACGCTCTTCAGAACGACAATGGTTGAGAAAATTAAATGTTCACCAGCTGGCTGAGACAACAAAAGGCCAAACGCTCACAGTGCTCAATGTAACAAGAGCAGAAAGTATTTTATATACCAGGGTGGAAACCGAAAGTCAAGCCTGCTCACTAAAGTGCATCGGGTTTATTTTGCATCCAGGTTTAGAATACACTTTTGGAGATAAAGTGATACATGGATTTTTTTCCCCCCCCTTTCTAAAATGAATTAAATCGAGTTGTGACAAGCAGTGCTGTACCTTCACCAGGTGCTGAATTCTCCCACAGGTATGCAGAAAGATAAGAACCTAAGACTCAGTTTGTCATAGGTGAGTAAGCCAGCACTCCTGTTGATAATCCTGCACTATCGCTCTGCGTTCTTTTGAAAAATATTTCTTTGACATCAAATCAATTAATAGGCTCTTCATAGATATTCTCAGCTGGAAATGCAAGATCAGAACCTTGCCAACATCGTGGATAATTTTTTCTCCACAATTGTTAAAAAGTGAAACATAAAACAGATTTGAACTGAGATGATGAAATGCAGTCCAGACTGCAAAGTCAAACGCGAAACGTTTTTCTTCCAAGTTATGATGACCAGAAGTATTTCTGTTTGCTGGAATGCAATTCTTAAAAGCGTTTCTATATTTTCTTGTGAATTACCGTATTTTCCGCACTATAAGGCGCACCTTCAATAAATGGCCTATTTTATGACTTTTTTCAT